TGAAATGTACGTTTACATACGTTGCTGTTGACTTTGCAGAGGTGCTCGCTGTTATTGGTTAGATTCCATACGGCCCCAAGATGTTAATATGTTAACACAAAGCTTTGTTTTGTATTACCAAACTATGAAATAGCATCTGCGAGGCACAGAATAGAAGCGTATTTGAACGAAAAAGCCGCCGAACACATATCTATGTAAAGTAAACAAGCCCCCCGCTGCATCCCTTATTCGATAGTTCCGAAATAGTTCTAAATTCGACAAATAGGATCTAGTTCGTTCTGCATCCCTTTTTCTATAGTTCCGAACCATTTCTAAATTCGTCACTTTAGATATAGATTTGTAGTGAAAAAAAATGAAAAAATTAGTTTCTTAAAAGTACCACTTTTCGCCGATTTTGGACTGGGGTGGATCTAGTTCCTATGGGACTAGTTCCTTTTCGGCGATAAAGACCTAGTACGGAACTAGAAATTTGATTCACTAGTCCGCGGTTTCCCTGCAGGGTATGTATGTACATAAATATGTATGGACTCATTTTTTTGCAACTGGGCATGAATCACGTAGCTTTGAAACGATAGTCGTTCAAACGATACTGACAAAACGATGTTGTCAAAACACTGATTTATGCATTTGTGTTGCTGTTACGTCTTACAGTTACTGTTACGTGAAGCAAAACTAGAACGAGTTGACGATATCGCACAAACGATCAAACAATTTTGGATTGTATGAAGCAAGACAATCTCGACACGATATCGTTCAGACGATTGTCGTCATATGTCAGACTACCACTGACGTCGTAATTGGTGTCAATAAAAGCACGGATCTCGACGTAGTTGCAACTGGATCCATCTGTCGTCTTTCAAATCTTCTGTCAGTACCGAAAACATCATAGCCTATGCAGCGAGAAACGCCGCAATTGATAGCAGCCAAATTGCCTGTTTAAAAAAGATTCTGACATTAACAAACTAAGAAAAATGAATTTTAAGGTTGGTGTCTCGACTACGCTCCTTGACAATGTTCTAGATCCTATGCTATGGCCAGCTGACGTCAAAGTTCGACATTTTCAGTTTATTGAAAATGCAACCGGAAAACATAAAACTGCCTAGCAACTAACTAACAAAAAAGATTGCGAGTTTAAAGAACTAAAAATTTATTTTCAAAACATGTGCGGTATTCGGACTAAATCTGAGGCTATTCGCTTTTTAAGTACTTATCCGGAGTTTGACGTTATTATCTTTGTGGAAACGCTGCTGACTTCTGACTTTTTTGACCAAGAGTTTTTTGATGCCAAAGTATATAATGTCTCTCGTAAAAACCGAGATGCAATAAAAACGGTCTGTTCACTTGGAGGGGGCGTTCTAATTGCGGTTCAACGGAAATTGCAGGCTTTTCAAGTAACTCTTCGGAATTCGGATACCTTTTTGGATCAATTGTGTATCTGCATAAGGGCATCACCTGCTTATGGCTCCTTATATGTAATTTCATCGTATATTCCGCCTAATAGCAACTACACTATTTATAAAGCACACACAGATAATATTGTTCATTTAGTTCATAACAACTTAGCTGATAATCATCTTTGTGTTTTTGGTGACTTCAACCCTCCTAACATTTCGTGATCTGGGAGCTTCTCTAACTTGGGTCTTACTACAACCAATATTACAGCTGCGCATGAGTCGTATTGTATAGATAATATCTTAAGCCTAGATTTAACTCAAATTAATTCTTTTAGGAACAAGCTTAATAGAATTCTTGATTTGGTTTTCACCAGTGCGAATATTAACACCACCATTTCTCAGTGTCTTTCCCCATTCTCTCCGGCAGACAAACATCATGTCTCGTTAACACTTAAGGTAGAATTCTATGAATTCTCAGTCAGCCACTCTGAAGAAAAAGGTAGGTTCAAATATGGATGTTGTGGCTTTGTTAAACTTAACTCTTGCTTGCTTGAATCTGACTGGGAGAATTTGTTCTCCGGCTTAGATGTTGCAAGCTGTTATTGTTCTTTTAAATATCGAGTAAACGAAATTTAACTTAAAAATATTCCAATAATGAAAAAAAGCCCGTGGTACAACGAACCAACGTAATAAGTTTTTTTAATAAGTTCAAAAGAACTAAGGTACAATCTCATTTTATAAGGTATCAGCAACTGTTGAAAAAATTGAACTGCCTAAATAAGTTCCTTTAAAGAAACTATATTTTCAGTGTAGAATCGAACATTAAATCAAATCCAAAAACTTTCTGGCACTACATTAAGTCTATCAAGTCCAGCGTAGGTGTTCCTTCGGCGGTTTGTCTTGGGGAAAAACTTGCTAGCTGACCTTTAGAAATTGCCAATTTATTTGCCGATTTTTTCAAATCGAATTTTTCTAATGACGACGTTAGCGACCCGTGCTACGCTTCTCACAATAACCAACCTTCATCACTAAACTTTGGCTCCTTAAGTCTTAAATCATAATTCGGGGCATTAATCCTTTAAAAGTCTCTACTCAGACTGACATTGATGGCATTTGTCCCGCCCAGCACTAATATCACCTCACCACGTACTGGAGTTTTTTTGGATAACTGGAAATTAACATCAATTACCCCAATTCCCAACAGTGGCAAAAATAATGATGTTACTAACTATAGGCCAATCTCCAAGCTGTCTACAATTTCTAAACTGTTCGAGAATAGTGTATAGTGTGAAGGAGAAAATGTACTTTGTCGTTAAGAGTTTAACCTTGCGGTCTTTAGTGAATACTGCATTGACACGTTTTCCTTTCGGCTCCAAGTTGATTGTATATACACTGACTTTTCCAAGGCTTTCGACAAAGTATCCCATTGCATTCCTGAAGTGGCTGAATTCTTATTTAAGTAATAGGTGCTGCGTGGTCTCAATCAAGGGGGTGTCTTCTATTCCCTTTACTGCATCATCTGGCGTACCTCAGGGTAGCATCTTAGGACCTTTACTCTTTGTTCTTTTTATTAATGATATAGGCAGCTGTTTTTCGTTTTCTAGGTTCTTGCTTTACGCGGACGACCTAAAAGTTTTCTCTTCGATTAAGAGTTCTGAAGATGCTTCTAGGGTTCAATCAGAAATCAATAGATTGTACTTATGGTGTTATCGGTCTCACCTACATCTCAATATTAGCAAGTGTTATCATGTAACGTTTTCCAAACTACGTAATGATGTGCGAACGTCATACAGTATCTCTGGTAGTCCCCTTCAGTCAGTTTCCGAGATCAAAGATCTTGGTGTAATTTTTGATCCCTCTTTTTTATTCATTAACCACATCAATTTTATCATATCTAAATCATATGCTGCGTTGGGCTTTGTTCGTCGAAATAGTTCTAATTTTACTGATCCCTACACTCTGAAATTACTCTACACATCTTTTGTTCGTCCAAAGCTTGAATATGCAGCATCCATCTGGAGACCTCATCATAAATTTGCCATCGATAGAATTGAGCGTATTCAAAAAGTTTTCCTTAAATATGCCCTTTCTTCCCTCAATTTCTCCACTCCCGTCCCTCCGTACAATTCCCGACTCCTTTTGATTAACCCTAAGTCCCTCGAAAGCAGAAAAACTATTCTATCCTTGTCTTTTATGCATGGTTTGATAAGTGGTGAAATCGATTGCCCCGCATTACTGCTTGCTATTCAATTTCTTATTCCTGCGAGAACACTTCGTTTCAATCATCCTTTTTACCTCAAGGCCCTCAGTACAAATAAAGCAAGAAACGCCCCGTTAGTGCGTGCACTTTGAGAACTCAACTCGAATTCTATTTTGCTTGACTTTTCTTTGCCCAAGAATATATTTTGTAGTTTATTGAATTCAATTTTATCTTAGTGCCTTCTGCACTTTAGTTCTCAGGTACCGTTTTAGTCAGTAAGAACCTCTGTAGTTTATTGACTTTTTGAAATAAATAAATGAATAAAAATGGTTGCGGACCGAGGAATGCCTGGTCTTAGCCAATTCTGGTCAAATGGTCAGATGTCTCATTACCAGGTACTGTTGAGAGACCTGGCACCCAGAGTAAAGCAAGCTCGTTATATTTACCACCATATGTAAGTTCAGACTTGCATTGCCGAACTAGTTTGGAAAGAGTTAGAGGGCTGGCCAATGCCTTAAGTGCAGCTTGGTTGTCACTGCAGAAACGTAAACTCCTTCCGGTCCACCTATGTTCCACCACGTGGTCCATGGCTTTGAAGATTGCAATTATCTCAGCCTGGAAGACCGAAGCATATTCCCCAACAGAAAAGTGAAGCTTATCCCCATTTACTTCGAAAAATACTCCAGATCATAACCCAGAGTCAGTTTTGGAGCTATCAGTAAAGATTCGACAATGTGTGAGTCCGGTTTCAGTGATGGAATTAAACCAGCATTCAGGCTCAGGGAACTCAACATTATAGAATCTCTTCAAGAAAGATAATAGTAGGGCGTACTATTCTTTAGCATTGAAAAGACACAAGTGCTTACATCTCTGCCGCCAGAAATTTCCGCCGCGCCCCTTAATGTTGTACCAACATCCGGTTCTTTTTAGTCTGCAGGTGGCCTTTCCCACGTATGAAAACACGAAGTGACGGTAAGTGCAGTGTGTCAAGAGCATTACACACCACTCAAAAAAATTAAAGTTAAATAAAGAGGCTATCAAACAAACTTTTTTATCGAAACCAGATACATTTTCGTGAACCCCCACTTACAACTCATGGACCACCATATTTTTTCACGCCAACGTAGACCTCCGTCGAGTCTCCCATGGACCCCTGGGGGTCCACCTGGACCACTTTGGGTATCACTGTTTTAAATTGTAATTAAAACAATGGCTTGCTGCGTGAAGTAAGCATGCGACTTTTGTTTTTTTTTGGCTTAAATTAAAAAACTATCTAAAATTGGATTAGGAAACTGTGGCACTATTGCCTTGCTGTGAGGAACTCTGATTAAAAAGTATAGAACAAAAATACGCTTGCCAACTTTACGCAGGTCATAAACAAACACAAATTAAAAGGGTTTATTAACCTTCGCTTCCTCGACAGCCATTTTTTGAGCTTCATTTTCAGCATCCTGCTGCAATCGTCGTTGACGCGCTTTCTCATGACGAATGCTTCTTTCCATTGCGCGGTCTTGCATTTTAAGTACAAATTTTGGCATAATCATGGCTTTCCCCTGCAAACTCGCCATGTTTTCGTCATTTTCTTCTCGCAGGTTACCAATAAGCTGTAGGTATTTTGCTTTTGCTTTGAACTTTGGGTTACCATGGTGTATAATCGACTTCAATTCGTTTTTTAAATCTTGACGATCTTCTTTGGCCTCGGAAGATAACTTATAAAAATTTAATTCCATAATAACACGCTCTTGGCGCTCAAGCTTTAGTCGTTGTAGCTCTATGATGTCCTGTTGAATCCTGATTCTGTAAAAAAATATATCAATTGTTAATAAGTCATAATTATTTTACATCGCTTTAGATCGGTGGTGGGCATAAGCTTGCCCGCGGGTAAAACTCTTTCAAGCTTTCTATACAATGAGGGAAAAAAATATTAAAATCAAATAGAAACGTAATTGATCTTACTATAAACGTCAACGAAAGTACTGTTCATTCTGAAAAAGCATCCGTGAAGTAAATAATCAAGACAAAAACTAAAAAAAAATATTTAATATGCATGTTGCCTGCAGTGGAATTCGAACCCTGACCATCTCTGCATATCAACAAATTGCGGCAAGCATCTTTGCGCACTCAGCTACACCCAGCTTTCGAATGTTGAATTTTCATCAAGACCACAGCACGCGATTTGTACGGATATACATGTGCTAAGTATGTATGTGTGTGTTGTCGCCGCCCAGTTAGAAAAGGTAATCTATAGCAGACATGGGCACATTTGCCCGTATTGCCCGTACGGGCAAGCGAGCCCATTTCGCGGGCTAGATCAGGGGAAAATCATGGGCAAACATGAAGGGGGCAACGAATCTTACTAATACAATTATACCAATGAGATCCACACGCATTCTGGAGTAAAAACCCTGCAAAAATCGATGGACAATGTAGTCTATGTGTGGTATATTGGAGTACTTACAAAAGTGTTCATCTGTCATGCTGTAGCGGACCAACTCGTGTCTCGTGTTTTAACGAAATGTGATTGAAGTTGAGCATTTGAAATCACATTTGCATGTCTGGCTGTAGCTGAACGTATAGAGATGCTCACTGTTAGTTGTTAGCTCCCAGCATGTTCGGGTACGAATGCCGTCAGAGGCAACATGTAATTTTAATTTTTTTTTTTTTTGGTTTTTATTAATTTCGAAAAAACATCTGTGAAGTCAAAAACAAAAGCGTGTACAAACGAAAAAATATAACAACAATGCCATTGTTAATATGTTGGAGTAGTTTTGTGCTACTCTGATGTAATGTAGAGGTGGAGTATATGGTCCTGCACTAGGACATCGCAATGTTAATTAATTAATTTTGGAGTACTCCTTGGTCTTTAGGGAGTACTCTTTACACGCGTGCATTGAGTAGTCGCAATTTTTGCAGGGTATGGGTGGTTCCATCGGAAGGTCCACCACGACAAAAAAAAATAAAAGTCTTATATCTAACGTATTTACGGGCCAATTTGTCTGCTTTTTATACCCGAGCGCACTTGTGCACAAGGGTATTATAACTTTGTTCACATAACGGTTGTTTGTAACAGGCAAAACGAATCGAGATAGATATAGACAAATGTATACATAAATGATCAGAATGAAAAGAGAAATC